TATGATAGTTGAAGACTTAATTAAAATACGATTAATTTAATTCAAAGAGTTATTTTTGTTTCCATACATTTTGATATGCTGGAGTCTTTGTATATATGTTTATTGTAATTTCCATTTTATAACCATGGTTATTTTAAAAGAATAATATGGAAGGGACTAAAAAACGCTATAATAATGATACCTTATGGGCATTGTTAAAAAAATACGGCCTCCTGAAAACACCTGGATATTTGAATTATTCTGCCTATGAAATCCCATATCTTTATACAGGTATCAATGAGATTTACCCGATATGAGGTATAGAAGCTTAAAAAATATCATTTATCTCATGCAACAATTGTATTAAAGACACCACTTTACTAAATAAAATACAAATGACATAAAAGCTTTGATGTTCATCTATTTTATTAGGTCATATATATAACATACTACAGAATCACAGGTTTTGCTATGTATTAAACACCGTTCCATAACAACATCATATTTCATATATAACCAAAATCTACAATTTAATATAATTTTGGCATTTGATAGGTTAAACAATTCTTATTCATTAGAAAACAAAATAAAAATATGTTATGGACCAATATTTTTAGTTATTTCATATTTTCCACTCCCCCCCCCCTTTCCCCCCAAACACCTGCTCATTGGAGTATACAACAAGAGAGGGCATATATCGATCACCTGGGTATGTGTTTAAAGTACTTGATATGAGGCTATGAAGATATAGCACTCTATGGTAGGTACTGCATGCACATGTGAAATTACAGAAAGATCTATCCAGTATTTCTGCAGAAAAAGCGAGAATAAACTTCATATGACAAAATCCAAGATGGCGGACGAGAGGCCATCTTGTTTTAATGAATACACCCAAATAATAACAGGCACTACTAGACAACTTGATGGATAAAAAATTTAGATAAAATCCCGTAATCAATATGGTAGAAGAAGGATTTCAAAGGTTATACCTCGATTTCCACTATTGGGCCCCGCCCCTTTGCCCTGGGGGCCACACCCGCCGTTTATACAAATTGACTGCCCTTGGCCTAAGGATCCTCCAGACCAAATTTGGATGAAATCCCTTAATCCCTATGGCAGAAGGATCTTAAAGGTTACCTCTATTTTCCCTATTCGGACCCACCCCTCTGCCCCCAGGGGGGCCGCACCCATCATTTATCCAAAATTGAATCCCCTGGGCCAAAGAACACTTCGCACGAAGTTATGATAAAATCCCTTAAACCCTTATGGTAGAAGAAGGATTTTAAAGGTTTACCTCTATTTCCCCTATTCCGACGTTCAACACATGAAAAATGTTCCCACTAGCCAAGCATCAATGCTAAGCCCTGTACAGCATTTGAGAAATGGACCTATCTGAGAAATAAACCTTAAAGCAAATTTTACCGGAGTCAGTCATGCGTAAACTGTAGATCAAAGTGACCTAGCTAGCAGTGAACCACGTTGTACTACCGAAGATCTATAAACTGACCCAAGTATCATTGCTATACAATGTCTACTATCTGAGAAATGGACCTACACTTAAAATTGAACCAAATCGGGATGGACGTATGGACATACCTGGTACATACGTACCTACAGACGGACAAGGGTAAATCACTGTGTAAAGTTTTAGATATGTGCAAGCCATGCTCACAGTATGTTTACTTGTTATTAAATTGCTTAACTTTAGGGCTCAGAAAAGTAATTTGACACAGCTTGAATGATCTTAGCAGACTTTGTTACTCTTACACTTACACATGTCTCAGATAATACACTTTTGAGTCCATCTTCACCATTTCTATTGTAGGCAAGTTTCAAGTTATGGAAAGACAAATTACTACCAGCAGCTTTCCTAGCCATACCTTTGCTCAAAATATTCTTTTCTACAAGATCATTCTAAGATGAAATATTTTTCTCTATACACATAGAGTAAGCAAGAGAGGATAAAACATAATTACAATCAAAAGCAGCTTCAGAACATGAGTGAACAGTAACATTGCTTTCATCAACTAACAGCTGTAGAAATGTGACATCCTCTAAGGCATCATGTGCATTGTAATCATTACCCGTTACAATTTGATATACATTTTCTTGTGCATATGAAGACAAATTTGGCAACTTTTTTTTAAAAAGCACTTCAGTATCAATAAAGCCATCTACAAAATTTACAAATTCTGAAATTTTAACATTTTTTTCCAATGCATTGAATAACAAAGGACAATCAAAAACTTAAATGTTATGTCCTGCAAGGAAAACTGGTTTGGGAACTTTCTGTATAAATGACAGGAATCCCTCAATTGCACAGGATATACTGGATGGGGTTACCACTTTGCCATGGTGATACATTCTGCTCCCTGAAATGGATATGCCTGTGATATCTGATGCACCTTTGGAAATAGGTTGTTTCGGAAAGACATAGATGCTCCATTTCTTGTCACCATATACTGCTGCCATCTGTGTGATGTGAGAAGTCTGTGCTGAAAAAAATTGATAAACATTCAAGCAGAGTTTGAAATATGCCCGAGTTGGTGGTGATTATTTAGTCATATTTGGTAAATGTTATAACTAAACTGCTACTTTCAAATATAACATTATGTGAATGTGCATTATAAGTTGGGAAAAACAAGTTTTCTACAAACAACAGGTAAAATAAATGATGAAAACCAGATATGTCATTATATATTATGACACAGATGCGAAGGGCCCACAACAAACTTCTATGACAATGATGTTTTTGAAGTTAAAGGTCATCAACTCAAAGTTGATCTATAACTCATCAGTATGTAACCTGATAGCAACAATCAAGTCAATATCTTGAAATTCTTTAATTTCATATTCCCATTCACTTACAAAGTTTGGGTAAACACTGATAAAAGTATAATTTTGCTTTAAATACCTGCTACATTTTGCCTTGCTAGCTGTGTCCATTTACTGATATGAGGGATATTCAGCTCCGAAAGAAGACTATTGACTTGTCTCTTGCCATTGCCGGCATGTATCATAGCTAGAAAATAAATATCATCCTTTCATTTTCAAATTCATTTTGTCATGTTTGTTATATTACTTTGTGATTAGATGTTTTATTCATCTCACTCATGGTAAGATATTTAACATAAAGTGACTTCCTGTGGTATANTAAAAAATCCACATATTTTCCGCATTTGAAAATGACTAAGTCAAAATTCCGCATATTTTACACACATTTTCCACACCACCGTTTCCGCATTTGCGTAAAACATGCGTAAAAATAAAAAATCCACACATTTTCCGCATTTTTTCCACACTCGCGGAACAACTGCGTAATTTGTAGGTAATGCTGTAGCATACAGTGCAGTTGAAGAGGTAGGCCACAATTACTGCATGCTGACAGTGCATCTGCCAACACTCCCAATTCTACCACATGTCAACCGTCTCTCCATACATCTTCTTTGGTACTTAATGTCCCTTCCTCTACAACTAAACCTCCATCCAAAATGACAGCTGGCTCACTACAGTAGTACTGTTGATCCAGTCATAATTGTGATTTAGTGAGTGCACTTTCTGTAGCTCCACTGCCTCTTCACTTCATCGTGCGATTCTGTCACATCTTTAATACTTTCGTAGTAGTTCTTTAATACCTCCTTTGCCTTTCCCTGTCTTTCTTTTGCCTTGTTTGTTTCGAAATACGCCGTTTTGTTAACTTTACCCATTTTGACCGCTCAAGATTGTTGTCGTCTGTCATTTCGTCAACAATGGCGCCGAAAATGGGGTTAACTACGTCGTAAAATACTTCAACCTATTTCATCTTTTCGTAGTTATTCATTTAACACATTTACTTATTAATTCCATTTAATTGGGCCTTATTGATAACGCATGAGGAATAAAATGTTGATACCATCTTCATATGAGACCGAATGTTTACGTCTTGACAAAATTACAGGAGGAGTTACCTCCCGTAGACTGTGCCAATTTCAGACAAGAAAAGCTCACCTGACTACATCCTTAAATATATTGAATACTTAATCATTTTTTTACTTTATTCTATACTTCTAGTAAGATTATATGTACATTTTTATATTTTTTATATTTTTTAAAGGGCTTACATGGTTGTGCATGTTACCCAAACCTTTGACAAATTTCCATGTATGTTAATAGGAAAGGTTTAAAATAAAATGCTAAACTAAACGCCGACGAATCATATTCCATTTTCAGCCTCATTCCTTTTTAATACATAGCACATTAAATGCTATTTACATAACTGTTAGATTGGCTACGTCATCATTACTAAAATGTTAAATGTGTTACGCGTTATTATGGTGGACATCGCTAAGGAAATCACATGATCACGTCATAAATAAAGATGTCACAATTCTCTATCTAAAATAGATGAAAGAACTGAAGACGAGTTGTCTGGAATTCATGAAAGTGTCATTTATGTGTTAATTACTATCATTAAATACTTCATATTGATATATTACGCATACGTCGAGAATCAAAAGTGTCATGTACAATATCAAGCTACTGGCATGATACTGCTTTCCTCTACGTTGCAATTATATAAGAAAACTTTGAAATATATCACGTCCTATAAATGATTTATTTATTTTTTATATTTTAAATACTTTTGCATCAAACATAAATTTGAATTCGTTAGGTATTTAATTAAAGCTAAACACATAAATTTTCATAGTTTTTATTAGCAAACAAAACGATTGTATGACGACATGGCAATGATGCTTTAACATCAATTCAAGAATATATGAGCATATGTTTCTAGTCGTTTGGCATCAAACTTTTCCATTCTTTTTGGATCAAAAAGGACAGATCTAATCAGATTTGTCGTATTTCTTCGTATTTGGAATAAAAGATTTCAAAGTTAATGAATTGTAAAAAACACATGCTAAATATGGTACAGAAAAATAGCATAGCGCTATCAAAGTGAAGCACAAATTGATTGTGAACGTCGGCACAAAACCACAACAGGAAACAGAGAAACACGAAAACAGAAGGACAAAAACATTAACCTACATAGAGGTTTCATCTATATCCGCTGCCCCATTTACGACGTTCACTGTTGTCAGAATAGCTGAAACTGTGCTGTTCCACATGGGTTCCGTTGAAATGGTGCTGTTCCATATTGGGTAAGATGCTAAAGTGTCATTAGGATAGCAGCCTTGGGTAGTTATTGGTTCAAGTCGAGCTGGCGCACTGCCAAATAGTTGACCACCAAGAACTACCCACATGTTTATCACTATAGCTGATAGGCTCCCTACCAAGGCACCATGTGGTGAAATAAACGTGCGGCATATCAATCGGATATTTACATTATTTCTCTGTTTAGCTATTTATTTATTCATTTATTTATTTTTAATATAGGATAATTTCAAATGTTTAACACTCGAATGTTTTGTCCAAAAAGTAGTGGACATGTGTTCTCAAAACTCAAAATTCAATGCCTGACTCATTCTACTACTTGTATATGAGTACATGTAGCTATTATGTCCCCTCTTTGAAGCATACACATTTAATCCGTCATTATCGCTAATGAGAAATCTAAACACTATTGATTTGAATACATTCAATCATAAAAGTATTTCCATCTCAGGCATACTGAAATCCTCATATGAAATATGTCATTTGAATCGCATTCGCATCAAAAAGGATATTTTTGATTCAAAACAAGAAAAAAGTATTAAATCTCCCATATTTTATCATTGAAAAAAAGTTAAACGTTCAAGTGGAAACATTAAATAATCTATAAATTGAACCAAACCTAATTTTTCGAAGCAAAATACTACTGTGACCATAATTATAACGAATTTGCAAATGTTGATAATTAGCATCGAATATAAATACGTCGGGGTAAGTATGATTCCGTATTCCTTATCAATTGAGTGACGTATTCATGTAATGTCTTTGAAACCATTGAAGAAATCTGGTAACATTAAAAACAACGTGTCGGTCAATTTCATGTGGCGGTAGAAATGATTGGATAAAAAGGAGGTATTTTGAGGGTGGGAGGACGAAAACAACACTGCCTCAAATAACCGGAACATTTTAAACATTCTAATCACACATTAAATATGTAAGTGACATGATGGAAAACTTAGAAAAAAGGGAAATAGTAGCAGTAAATTGTTTCAGTGACGTAAATAGTATAATAAAAAACGTCATTCCATAAGCTCAACACACAAATCACAAAACAAAAACAGCAACAACTGTAACCTAGCGAAGTCTTTGATTATTTGTGGTTGTTCAACATTGTTTGTTTTGTCGTACGGAATTACAGTAATGACTTTGTTATTTTGTGTTCATTAATTTTTCTCTTTCTCTTTCACATTATATAAACAAAAATCCTTGGAACATTGTAACATTCGTACAATCCAATTAGCACTGGGGAATAAGCCTCCGAGGAAGAACAAGCCAGCCATTGGTCCACCGCAGGCTCCAAATACGGCAAGGGTTAACTACAAATAAGCATATGATGACATTTACAAACATTTGCCATGTGAACATTTTTTTTTGGTATCGCAAAATGTCTCGTGGCTAAATGATAGGGTATGTAAGCAAATTGTATTTCATAAAAACAAGTAGGATGCAGACCTACAGACATATATAAACATTTTGTGTTAATGTAAATATACCACCGTTTCCCCTTTGGATGGTGTATTTGAAACTCAACCGGCAACGGTTATTGCACATGTTATTTGTTAAAAGGTTACATTTATTATGTTCAATACAATCCACCCTCGATACTCTAGGTGTTACGCTCACTTACACTCTCTGCACGCCTGGAATATGTCATAGCGAAATGGAAGGTACGTAACAAGCTATTTGATGGGTATCAGATCAAAACAAAACGTCAAAGACAGTCAATTTTACCGTTACGCTCACGCAAGAATCGTTTGATAAACAATAAAGAACCGAACTAGTCTTATTTTTTCTGATCCACACCGTGGCACATACTGAGCGTTTATTTTTCTATGACATAATTCAGGAGTGCAGCGAGCGCGAATGAGCGTAACCCCATGAGTATCAATGATTACATTAATTCGAGGCGATACTCCTATATAAGCCCGAGGGGCCAAATGGCGATGATCTGATATGGAATGAGGGTGCTCCTATTGAACACGCTCATTTGTGAAAAATATATCAATGTTTTATCACTTGCGTTTCTATTTATCGACAACTTTTGGCTTGACATTGCACATATTTATTGTCCAAATGGGTACAAGGGATCTAACACACGTTATTGCAACTAATGAAGCCATATCCTATCAACATTTCAATAACAAGTGATTTACATAGACAGACAATTTCAAATAGCTAGGTTTTCGTCACCAAATAGGACAGTGTAGTAACTTCAAACTTATTTGCATAGGAATGAAAGGCAATTTCACTATGACAACCATAATTTGAACTGTTTGAATCTTTAACTAAATTTGCACGGAATAGATCATATCAAAGAGAACCGCATTGCTGCCTTAATCTTGTATGTAAAATATTTAGTTTTCTGTCGCCTTATGTGTAGTAACATGTACTAGGTTAACCTGCAAGTATATCTGGGATTAAAGCTAATTGAAAAGAAGAGAGTAGTAATGTTTTGACAGTACCATCTTAAGTATTCCAGGGTTTTTTTTCGACGATTTCCCATAAACTTGTTCACATCAATTAAAATTCATTAAAAAAACATGGATAGAATTAAAACGGATATTTAGAAACTCACCTGAGTAATCGGACCAGGCACGTTTTGCAGTGTATAAGCAATACCGATCGCAATAACACCATAAACAATAACTAAAATTATAAAACAAGAAAAAAGGCATTATTATAAAACATGTTAAGAATAATAGTATTTCCAAAAATCCGGAAACGACATATGCAAAGCCATAATAAACATAAACTAGCCTCAGCCGAGGGAAGAAAACAAAATACAGTAACATCACATATTAAAATAAATGCTTGTTATCAAATGATTGTTTCTTTTTATTAAACATCAATGTTTTAACACGAACAAAATTAATATATTTAATATCATCGACTTCCTGAATTTTGAATACGGTGATTCTTAACTTCACTTCGAGTTAGTGTTTTTGCTTGACATACATGTATTTATAGAGATGAATTGAACAATTGCTTTTATCTATTTAACTGATTAAAGTTAAGTTCGTGCAGCATATACATGTGTTATATATCATATGTTTTTTGTCTATTTGTATTTAGGGGGCCGCGTTGGCCAAGTGGTTAAGGCATCTGACATTCTGCTATCACTAGCCCTCAACCACTGTGTCGCGGGTTCGAGACCTACATGGAGCAGTCACCAGGTACTGGCCGTATGTCGGTAGGTTTTTCATGGGAACTACGGCTTACCTACACTACCAAAACCTGGCACGTCATTAAATGACAATAACCGTTAATAGAACGTAAAACACAAACAAACGAAAGCAAAGTCTATTTGTACCTGTCAATTTAGCTATCATTGCCAGTGATATCCTTGCTGACCTGATGGAGCGCGGAAGAATGTCCTCCACCGTGTTAGCTGCCAGCGCATTAAGTCCTGATGACAATGTGCTGCAACGATTTCAGATAGTAGTATATTACCTATGTTTTCTTTTGTAAGCTTTTCAAATCCTTCACTGAGTATTTTGACTGATTTTGTATAGTACAATATTTATTCATCCGTTTGATTAATACTGTGTACCTATTTAACGATCCCTGTACTACTGTCAAAAACCTGCGCACTGGAAACTGACTGTGCCAGCATGATTATAGCTTTGATATAAATGATTTGTGAAAAGAAACCCATACTTGCGGCACTTTTACGAAATTATAATAAAATAGTATGAAATAAGCATAAACATAATTAACAAACAGTGCTTTGATTGTTAAAAACTCACCGGCACTATACCGGGATTCGAACCCTGTACATCAACGTGTTATACATGTACTATCGCTCTAACCGATTTGGCTAATGGTCGACAAAAAGTGCCCTTAAGGAGAGGTTATTGTGTAAATAAAAACACTGCAATGGAACAAAAGTCCTTAAATCTAACACAAGATAAGGTTGGTGCTTCTTAAAACAGGTGTTTAAACGACCGATGGTATAAAGCACCTATGCACTGCCAGAAATAGTAATGAGACTTATGCTTGTTTCTTCTTCTGTTTTTTTTTTGGAATAAACGATCCTTCGAGGGGGAGGGTTTTCGCCTACCATAGCAGCACCCCTTCCATAACAGTGAATCGCGAGAAACAATACTACAACACTACATTTACAGGGATTTGTTTAAAAATAAATTATTTACCATAATTACAAAGTGAACTGTAACATTTCACTTGACGATTTCAATAATTTATATTTAGATATTATTAATGTACTGACTTTAAATTGTTCAAAATTATTAATTGATGAATAATATTAATCAAAGCAATGTGTTTATCCTACGTTTTATGCTATCGGCTAATAATTTCTTTATCTGATACTACTCTTCGGCGAGGAAAGGAGCGTAGTTAAGTCAAAATGCACATGAAATGTTTATTAAAACTCTTTATTAACCCAACATAACACAGTCAAGCAGTCTCTGAAACGAACATTTGCATGTTTAGGTGTGTCGTTTCGTGAGAGTTCACTAGTGAAGGGGGAAAGTTGAAGGGTTACACAATTAAGAGAAGATTTCAAAGAACATATTTTACAATACATTAATAAATGTAATCTTATGGTAGATACTTATTACAACTAAAAAAATCAAAGTAGTAAACAATTCCCATATATATCTTCATTACCTTTAATAAGAGGAATTATTCAGAGCTTATAATTCGAAAGGGAAAATCATAGATCATGCGACGGGGTTAGCTCACTGTAATAAATACTTCAGCGTATGTCGTTACTTTTCTTTAACAAACGTATAATGAAACTGATTTTCTTCTTAGGAAAGATTAAATGTTAAAAATATCCTTCGGGACATGAAGAAACCTACCTACCTCAGAGACCCACTGAACAGACAGGAAACATAAACTCCCGACATTCCAGGCAGACTCCGTAGTACATCAAACACGAAATACGGCGTCATCTCAATGTAAAATAATATATTAATAATCATATATCAAATAATCTCTGAAGCATTATTTTTTTGTTAATTTCTTCTCCTTAAATAATCGATTAAAACAATAAACAACTAAAATAGATATTTTCCTGTGCACATATTATAAACAAATTACGTTTGGTAGTAATTAAATGCAAACTAAACAATACTCCAATAAAATGCCTCTTGGTATATTATCGATATTTTTCAGGGTCCAACTTTTTGCCAATTAACGAGCCTTGTGTATAGTTATATTACGCTTATTATAATATTATGCTCAATTTTATTCGTGAGTAAGTTCTTTATCAATTTCATCCGTGAGTGATTCCTTTATCAATTTTATCCGTAAGTGGTTTCTTTATCAATTGTATCCATGAGGGATTTCTTTACCCAATTTATCCGTGAGTGTTTTCTTTATCCAACCCTATTCTATAACAGCTTGTTCGCCGCACGCCTCATTGAGCCATGTACTGCAAATGTTGGCTTAATGATGTGTGCATCATTTAGGTAAAAATGACAAAATAGCAAGTTGCACACAAATCTGCCAAAATTACACCCCGTTGCGATAGCTTATTAATATGCCTATCTGCTTAAAAAATGAGAACGAATATAAAATTATGTTAGAAGTATGCTGAATTTTGTTTTAATTGTATATTGCAATCATGTTACTTAAACGTTCGGTAAGCAATTACGTAATTTTATTAATGTATTTTTCGACTTCACATAAGGTTATGTGTTTTTGTATCTATATTATTTCAGTATCATAAAACTATGGTGTATATAATGCTGTGATAATGAGTTTCACTTGTACTTGAGTGAGGGTGTTTAAATTCGAGGATTACTTTTGGGCGTCATTTTTAGATCTCAGTGAGGAAATCCTCTGTATACTAGCTTGACTGCACCAACTAGGAAGCCAGGTAAATATTAAACCAAAGCCGCATCCCCACACTGTATGTCTTACGCGGGGGTCGGGGCTGATTCTGTAAACCAAACAAGAGGCCCAGAGAGCCTGTATCGCTCATCTGGATAATAAAGTATCCATGGAAAAACATTCTTATTACACCTCATACATCAAATATTTCCAAGATCGTCTCTGTCTCTCAGTAACACCCGTCCTTTATTAGGTCCATTCCTTCTGTCCCTTTGAATTGGGGTGGAGTTAAAGCATTATCCTTATTTTTCCTTATTGATCCCGCCCCTAAAAGCAACCTCCTTTTATACAAAATTAAGTCTCCTTTGCCCAAGGATACTCTACACAAAATTTGTTAATTATTCCCCCTATTGGCACATGCCCTTCTGCAACCAGGGAGGGAGGGGGGCACACTTTCCGTTTATTCAAACGTTAATACCGTTTGACAAAGGATAATCCAGGCAAAATTTGGATAAAATCCCTCTAATGGTACAGACATAGAAAAGATTTACCTAAAATACCCATATTGGGCCCCACCCCTCTGCACCCAGAGAAGCCATATTTTCAGTTTATACAAAACTGAATCCCGTTTGCGCATGGATGCTCCCGGCCAAATTTGTATAAAATACCTTAATCGTACAAAAGAAGGACTTCGAAGATTTAAAACTTAAATTTCCCTATTTGGCCCCGCCCCTCTGTACCCAGAGGGACCACACCCTCTGTTTATACAAAATTGAGTTCCCTTTGCCAAAGGAGCCCCCTGGCCAAATAAGGATATATTACCTCAAATAGTCCAGAAGAAGAATGATTTTGAAAATTCATGCCTCAAATTGCTCTACTGAGCCCCACAACTCTGCACCCAGAGGGTCCACACCCTCCGTTTATACAAAATTGTATCTCCTTTGCCAAAGGATGCTCTTGGCCAAATGAGGATAAAACACCTCAAACGGTACAGAAGATAAAGGATTTTAAAGAAGACTTACCCCAATTTCACCCTATTGGCCCGGCCCCTCTGTACACGGAGGGGCCATACCCTTATTTAATACAAAATTTAGCACCGTTTGCCCAAGGATGCTCTAAACCAAATCAGGATGAAATCCCTTTTTCCTATGGTAGAAGAATGATTTTAAAGGTCTAACTCTATATCCTCTATTGGGCCTTGCTTCTCTGCCCCAAGGGAGCAATATCCACAGCTTATTCAAAATTTAGTCCCGTTTGCCCAAGGATGCTCTAGACCAAATCTGAATGAAATATCTTAATGCCTATGGTAGAAGAAGGATTTTAAAGGTCTAACTCTATATCCTCTTTTGGGCCCTGATTGTCTGCCCCAAGGGAGCAATACCCACAGCTTATACAAAATTGAGTCCCCTTTGCCTAAGGATGCTTCAGACTAAATTAGGATAAAATATCTGTATCCCTACGCTAGAGGAAGATTTTAAAGTTTTACATATATTTCCCCTTTTGTGCCCCTTTCCTCTGCCCCAAAGGGGGGTGGGGGCACTCTCACCGTTAATACAAAATTGAGTGCCTTTTGCCTAAGGATGTTCAAGACCAAATTGGGACGAAAGCCCTTAATCTTTATGGTAGAAGAATACTTTTAAAGGTTAACCTCTTTTTACCCTATTGGGCCCCGCTTTTCTGCCCCCAGTGGGGCAACAACCACCGTTTAAACAAAATTGAGTGCCCTTGGCCCTTGGATGCTCTAGACCGAATTAAGTTAAAATCCACTAAGCTGTTTACGACGAGTAGCGTTTTAAAGGAAAAGTTGACGGACGGACGGACGGACGCTGCGCCATGGCATAAGCTCACTTGCCCTTCGGGCAGGTGAGCTAAAAATAATGTTTACCACCTGAAATGGTTGTACTGAGCATGTTATTCAGAGCGATCTCATGAAGTAAAGATATAGAGGATATTGAATGGTTTTTCATTGAATACCATTTATATTTCACAAAATATTTTTGCCAGAGCGAGGAACAACTGAAAATATTTGTATGTTCTGCTATACGATTCGCTTCAATGAATGGTATAAATTGTGTCATTAAATTAATTCCTTTGTGAATGTAACAAAGATGTACCAAAACAACCACTTATTCTACAGTCGCTTCATCATTATATGAAAAGAAAATATACAGCTATAAATGAAGTGATTAGGAAGTTCAATTCTGATCGATCGATGCCAAAGTGATATTTTCACAAAGATACAATATTACTTTTGATATCTTTCTATAAATTTTATCAAGTTGATATAATTTGATATTTCACTTGCAAAAATGAAACAATATATTTTAATTTATATAGATTTTCACTGTATAAATAATGTAATAATTTTTATATTTCATATTGATATTAAAAAGCAAATCACACTAAAAAACAATATTGATTATTGCTCGGAAGCACTACCTGATGGACATGTATGAAAGAAATATCAGAAAAGGAACATAAATATACTTACTCATCAAATTGAAGACGGTTACCTGCCTCTAATTGAAGTTTTAATTCACCTTCTGTTCCAACCAACATCACCCCCTATTTTAAAATATCGACAATGTTTCAGCAGTACTTATAGAAAGCATAACATCGCTACAGAAAATACAACTACAACATAGAAAATATAAAATACGGTAAAATGCATATGAACACATAACAACCAGACTTTCCCCGGTTACATAACCTCTAACTGGTCCCTTGTAAATATTATGTTTGAACATTTAAAACACGTGCATTTTTAATTCAAATACTAGAAATAAGGGCATACATATCGAATATTCAAGAAATGTTATTTATTAATAGAATCCATCCCTGATGTGAGGTATGGATAAGGGTATTCAAACCCAAGGGATAAAATATTGAGCAGGAGACCCGATTTCTAAAAGGTCAAAGTCAGAGGTTACGGCGCACAAGATCCTACCTTGACTAGCGCAGCCGTTAATCCAACGAATAGCATGATAAACTGGAACACATCGGTCCAGACGACACTTTTGATTCCTCCCTGTCAAATGAAATTGCAGCTTGCTTATATACCTCATACTCATGTTATATGTAGATAAACAACATAGTTATCATTTTAATAACCAGAAAATGCATCTGATCGTCATTTTAATGCAACTAAAGAAACATAATAATAATAAATCAATGAAAAAAATGAAAAGAAACTTATACAATGAAGTAAATAGTTCAAATTTTGAGGGGAAAAAGTAAATCCTACGTAATCTATCGTGGATGCAAATTAATAAAATAAAAAAAGCCCGGAGAATCATGACACGAAAAGCAAATGCTATTGATAAATACTAACTACAAATGGACAGTTACACAAATCAATCATTAATATATAAGATATGAAATACGTGTATTAATGACCCTTACAATCGACGTATAAAGCGTTCCTATAGCTCCAATAACAACTACCGACAGCCAAAGCGGAAAACCAGCCACTAGAATAAAGAAATGAAATATTAGTATGTTAAAAAATCTATAATTCTCGATATTGCCTGTTATTGTGACAAACATTTGCTGTTTAATCATAAAAAATCGCCACTGACAATGTGGGTTACATACTGTTCAGTTTCATTCTTGATAGATCACATATCGCCACGTACATATTCACCAGGAAAGAAAAAGAAAACAAATAATGACTTTAGTTGAGGTGATTATGTGGTTCAATTAGCCTGAAAGGGATTTCAACCATATGTTCACCCAAATAAAAGTCCATATTTGAACGTTATGAAAACGTGACGAGAAAAGTACTGCATTTGGCAGAAGGTATTTCGACGTTTCAATTTAAATTACTTTCATAATAGGGAATATTGACATGTTGGTTTCTAAAAATAGTAAATCTGAGTCACTATCACAAATCACCGATCTCCACGTTTGTTTGTATGGGGTTTAACGTTCTCTCAACAGCACGGGTCATATGAGGACGGGTAAATAATTAGGTTACGATCCAACCAATGAGAATGTAGAAATAAGATTTCATCAAATATAAACATATATGGCATGGAAAGGTAAAACGATATAAAATTAACATTTAACCAATAATATATCCACGGCTGGAAGACCTAACACGATATACCTGAAAAAT